TTTTTTACTTGTTTCAGGGATTTCAAATCATTTTATATAGTAGACAATGGAAGTCCGAACTAGTGAAATTCATCACGAAACATTGTCAATCACCTTCAAACAAACTTGTCCTTGAGTTAACTGCCTCAGGTGTTGCTGCCCAGTTGTTTGATAGTCATGTAGGCTGCTTTCCCTGCTTTTCAACTGCGAATTCCTGACTAGAATGAAAATATTATGATTGCTTCCTACATGACTGATATGAAACTAATCATATACTTTCCAGGTGCCATCTTTGAGCAAGGTACTGATGACGTTCAGACGGCCTTCAAATATGCTGTGTTGCTGCACAATCAAAATCTGACCACCAGAAAGTTTGAGTTTCAAGCATTTGTGGATGTCATAAATACAGCGGATGCATTCAAGTTATCGAGGCTGAGTGAGTATAAAAAATATTAATTATTTTATTGAACATGAAACTGGGTTGAAGATTATTTCAAGTTGGGAACAGGTGGTGATATTTCAGGATCCAAAGGTTTATTCGATGAGAGATCATTATCAGAATAGTTGGTTCATATATGATATTGAAAATAATGATAATCACCATACTCAGATATTTCATATCATGTCATAATGCTTAGTGGTACTGAAACTTCTTTTAATTGAGATTTTTCAATCGTTTGAAATACCTATTGATGCCATTATGTCAGTAGATAAAACTAAGTATCTTGGTATAATGATTAATAAGTACTTCAAATGGAACTCACAACGATGTATTCCATATAGATTCAAGAGAATAGCAGAAATATTCGAAACCAGTCAACTCAAAATTACACACATCGGAAAAGTCTAGGGATATTTTAATAACATACTAAATATCATAAAAATAAATGCATGAGGTCGTTTAATTTCGATTAATTTGGTACACTCGACCACCCTGTAGATTTCTATGGGTTGAACAAAGCCTGCAAAAACGGTAACTAATCTTTTATCAAGTTTTTTACAAACTGTAGGTTTTCGGCTAAAATGAATAATCTGAAAGTGTCGAGTTTGTACATTCTATGCGGTTCTTGCTAAGCAATTAAACTGGAAATATTGTGCTTCAACATGAAACGCCATCACTTACCATTGGCTGAGATGAATAGAGCTGTAGGGCTTCTTCGAAGTGGCATGCGACAAAATGATGTAGCTCTTCGTTTGGGGGTCTCCCAAAGTGTTATCAGTCGATTGTGGCGGCGTTTCCGTGAAACTGGCAGTCCAGCCGAACAACATCCAGGGCGAGGACGCGCTACAACTGCAGTTCAAGACCGATTTTTGGTCTTAACCGCAAGAAGACAACCGACAATCACAGCACCTGAGTTGGTTAACGTGTTGCAGCAGACGCACCAGGTAACCATTGGTCGTGATACTGTCAGAAATCTACTGCATGAAGCAGATCTCCACAACAGAAGGCCACTTAGATGTCCACCTTTGTCGAGAGGCAATCGCGGTAGAAGATTAGAGAGGTGTCAAGAACATCAAAACTGGGATGCGAATGATTGAGCCACAGTTTTGTTTACAGACGAATCCAGATTTGGATTTCATCCAGATTCTCGTCGAGTAACACTGTGGGGACGACCTGGAAATAATGAACGTTTGAGACACGTCAAGGAAGTCCACACATACAGCGGTGGTACAGTAATGCTATGGGGCGGAATCATGATCGGCGGCAGAACCGATCTCGTTTTTCCAAATCGCTCCCTCACAGCTCGACAGTACCTCGACACCATTCTTCTACCTATCGTCCGTCCGTTTGCTGGTGCTGTTGGTGAAAACTTCCACCTAATGCACGATAATGCTCGTCCACATGTCGCGCGTCTAGTGACTGGCTCACCAACGAAGGAGTTGATGTATTGCCATGGCCAGCACAATCACCGGACCTGAATCCCATCGAGCATGTGTAAGACATGCTTCAACGAAGAATTACTTCGCATATGGGAAACATTAACACAACGTTTCAATTGAGAGAGCTTTTAATCGCTGAATGGGCAAATGTACCTCAACAAGACATTGACAATCTCATTTTGTCTATGCACGATAGATGTAGGGCCGTAATAAACCAGCGTGGAGGCCATTCTTTGTACTGATTCCAATTTTTTTTGTATTATGATTTTTTTTCGGCGTGCCAAAGAAGAGCCATATAGTTTTGCTTATATGCGCACTCAGTATTTTTGACCATTTAATAAATTTTGTTGTAAGTTACATTCGTTTAATAATCACCCGTCAACTTTTTTTTCCCTAAAGCGATCTAAAAAAAATTATTGCCATTTTTAAAAATATCCATAGACTTTTCCGATGTGTGTATTTACCAAAGTGTGATAGAATCACACTTAAAATATGGAATAGTCGGATAGGGAGGGGTTTCTAAAAAATATTCAAAGCCACTTGAAGTAACACAAAAACGATTCCTAAAAATGATACTTTTCAAAAACAGCAGATACCCGGGTGATGCTTTCTATGATTAGTCTGAGATTTTTCACTAGTTCAGACATCCATCGTCTATTATATAAAATAATTTGAAATCCCTGAAACAAATAAAAAAGAAGAATCAAAAATGAATAGCTGAAAATAACAAATATATTGAGCATAAATAATCTGAAATAAAATAATAGTGTAATAAAATACAAGTGCAAATAGAACGATTGAATAAAAATTAAAATTGAAGAAATAAAATGAAAATAAAAAAGTTAAGAGATTCCAAGCCACGTTAGTTCACGACGTTTCGATTGTTAGTATCTACAATCGTTTTCGGGTGATGATTCGAATTCTCCTGCACACTCTCACAGGCAGCGGCGATGTTTTCAGCAGATCTTGTGTCCGTTGACGACCGGGTGTTAGTCGATTGTTTACTGAACACCCATTTTCATGAGACAATTTTATTATTTGCACGTGTTGATGAATGCTATATCCATCTATAGCATTTATTGGCATGGCATATTTGGCAAAACAGATCGAATAACTGACAACCAATTTGATAGATGCAGCCTCAACACGTTGGCTGGTATCAATTATCAAATTTCGGAAGACCCTGTTGGAATACCCTTTAGTATTTCCCACTATCTTGATAGACAGACTCCAGTTAATGGTATGCACTGTGTTTGAGTATTTATTTACTAAAAATTTTAATGAGTTTTAGTAACACATGTGATAGTTTTGAAAATGGGTCAATACAATTGAATCGGAGTATAATCCTCAAATACCATTTGTCAAGTCGGGAATGAAATTTGAATGTAAAATTAGGAAAAGATACATGACAAGATACATGACGATGCTCTGTCATATCGAATTATAGTGATTATTTAAATCTGTGAAAAAAATATCTCTTCAATCTTCTTTTTTCCAGACGAGAAAAATTTGTAAATGACGGTATTTGGTGTATTCTGTATTTGAGTTTATTACATTCATTACAAACATAACTTTGGTGCTGTCCCAGTATATACCGGCTCCCACTCCTTCTTGGGTCTTTGAGCCATCTGTATACCAAGTCTCTTCCGCTTTTACCGGTGGGCCGTTTGGCCAGTCCTCTCTACTTGGTATGATGATTTTGAAATCTTTTTGAAAGTTGTACTGTGGAACTGTGTTATCCACGGGCATTCCTAGTATTGGATCTGCTTCCAGTTCATTGTTCAGTTTCAAGTATTCTGCACCATGTGACCGGCTGATTGGAGTTTTCCCCTGCATTAGCCTGCGTGTCACTAGTCAAGCCTTCTTTGTATGTTGATGTGCAATGGTGGAAGTCCTAGTAGGATCTCAAGTGCTGTTGTTGGGGTCGTTCTCATGGCTCTCGCGACACTTAGGCGCACAGTGTGAGAAGTTGTTCTAGCAAGTGATTATGTTCGGTAAGTTGCTTCATTGGGGAGAAATGAATTCAGGTATTAGATCAAATTTGAACGCTGCCTCAGGATCAATCGGATGTAGAGGAGGAAACCGTCAACAATGATACATCGACGTTTGATGTTCATTCATCTCCTAAGTGGATATTTTTATCAACTTCCATGGTGGTTTTCATAGAAACAAGTTTGACTGCGAATGCTAGATTTTAGATTCGAGCAATAAAACAAAAGGTTGAGCTTGAATATTTCGAAAAGTTATTCTTCTGTACACGTTTAAGAGGTCCTCTTCAGAAAGTTTGTAGACGTACCATTTCACCAACTGCTTCCAGTTGAATATATGATGTTCAAATATCATAGGCACATTCTCCGCTTAGTTCACGATCGAGAGTTTGTTCTGAAATAAAAGTTCTGGCCCATTTCGCTGCGTTACCGTATGATCCTGGCGACTCATATGGTTGAAATGAATTCAAAATAATTAAGTTATGGATTACTTAACTTTGAAATCATCAAAATTCATTGGCATCGACAAAAAAACAGTGTTATATGAAAGCTCAGTGCTTCGCTCAAAACAAAAATTCAATTTTTGCTACATTGTTACATTCAGAAGGTTCAACACAAAACCGGAAATGAAGAAACGTTCTCAAAGAGTAATCCTCATTAATTTCATTACTTTTCTCAGCTCTTTATTGTGCTCCCAGCAAAATGGAGCCCGAGAAGGTACATTGTTTATGTTTCAAAGTAATTGGATTTTTAATTGAATCTGTGGAGTGTTGTGTATAAAACTCTCAGCTGTGTTCTCTGTAGTATCTAATTTACGAAGCACATATTTTTATGAAGCGGTATACTGGGAAAAATTCAAAAAGAGGAATTGAAATGAAGGGAATTTTTCTATGAATCATCTTCCAGAGCAACATTTGAACGAATTTCTCACATATAGTCAGTGGGCACACTTGAAGACTGGATATAAATCAAATCAGCTGAAGGACCAATTTGTTCACGCCAGTCTCAACTTCCTACAATGTAGGTTAATGGACTGACACCAATCAGAAAACAACTGCTCCCATGGCTACTACCACGAAGGGCGTTGGATTATATCCGACTGGCCTGAACGAATTGTACTTTTAGATGGTTTGATTTATAGCCAGTATTCAAGAACGCCCACTGACTGAGAAGTTTCCTTTCCTTATACGAGAAATTGGCAAATTTCGGATATGCCGCTGGTTACCTCGTACACAGGCAGATGGGGCGATGGCAAACCTGTTGTTTGTTGTCCGCTTAAGCCTAGTTCGAGGAATGATACTCTCAAGGAATTCGATTTTCAATTATCGTTAATCATCAACTTTATGTTGATGATGGAGACTACTTTGCACTGACGAGTGGCCAAATATCCCGAAACTGGTCTGCAAGTATGTTTCAATAATTTAAAATCTATTGCGGCAGTTGTATCGCCAACAGAATATGCAGGAATAACTGCACTGCACTGACACCTTTCGGATATAATCCAATGCCCTTCGTGGTATCAGCCAGGATAGTAGTTGCGTTCTGATAGGTGTTAGTCCATTAACCTACAGTGTAGGGGGATGAGACTGATTTGATTTGAAAGGATTACACTGGATTGGAATCTTTTTTTTTGTTTTTGTAGATTAATATTCAGAAGGCCCCAAATTTCAACTGAAGCTGTTATAGTTGTTTATGTACCATGAGCATATACCCACGATGCTTCCATTTTTATGTCATATCAATCCATTATTGCATTCACAATTTTGGAAAAATCCGCATCATCACTTTGATTTCGATAAAATCGATCATTTTTTAATGATCAGCAGAGAATTGTGTATAACTTGTGATCAGTGTAAATTCCAATTGTCGACTGTCATTTCATTGAAAACTAGTAAAAGTGGCTCTCCAAGACGTACAGTTGCAGAACCATCCCTTGAAATTGACTGCCGATGAAATAGGTCTCCAAACTTCCTCTGTCTTCAACTGCAAGTCAATATCCGATCCGAAACCAGACATGATAGTGAGTTGCAAAGCCAAGCTTTATCACTGTTTGCCAAACGAGATCTGACTCAGGCTTTTTATGCAGCTTTTACTGCTAGGCTGCTGATTGCAAGTTCGAAAACATTATCAGATAATGGTTTCGATCATTATTTTTTTGTTTCTGATTCTAACTGATTGTCTTACAGTGGGAGCTGCGGAGAAACATAGAATTACTTTGCAACCGACCCCAAGATTTATCAGAAATCTTTCGACATGTCGGCTTTCCATCAAGATGTTTTAACTTCATTGAAATAACTCCATCATTGAAAAAGGGTGGATTTAAATCATTCAAATTCATTTTGAAGCTGAAGGAGACCATCACAGTTTTGCTCGGATTCACAAACATATTCTTCCCCTGGCATCTGTTGTGAACAACGGAAATTGGGTTGGCAACTGATTTCCAGAAGCAAAGCAGCAGTGAAAGTTGAAAATCCTTTTCAACGAGTTTCGGAGTAACTGATACAAGCTCAACAATAACAGACTATCATTATCAATACACCCGAGAAAGCTTTTGCATAAAGAAACACCTTTTGTGGTTTTCTAAAGTGTACAGTAAAAATCTCAGTCTCTCAGTCAAAATCTCAAAATATTTCTACCCCTTGGGTGTGAAAATTCCTGATCCCCTTTCTTGATGCTTATTTAAGCTATACAAAAAACCTACCTGTATATTTCAAGATTATAGTTTCAGTAGCTCGGACTGTACGTTAATATAAGAGTGTGAGTCATTCAATAGGTAGCCATCAAAATAAAGTAAAGTAGGTATCATCAACATAGGTAAAGTAGTGAAGTGAGGGGTAATATGATAGTAGGTCAGTAGACTCATATTAACTGTTCTTATTCATAAGTAAGAATCAAATATATGTAACCAAAACCCAGTAGAAAATACGATTTTGCAAAACTCAGTGATTACACAAAATAAATCGTGTTGCAGAACATTTTCAAAGGATTTCAGATGCTGACTTGTAGTCACTGAAATTATGGATAATTGAGATTGTTTAAAAAAATATGTCTTTTCGAGTACCTTTATTATAGCCGAGTGAAAGAATATCAAACAATAACGATAATGATTATAGATCTTTCCCTAAATCTTTTTCAGTTTGCAACCAGTTTTCAAGGGGTGTTTACTCCATGTTAGGAGCAGTTTCTCCAGACTCGTTCGATACTCTCCACTCCTATAGCAATACATTCCAGATGCCTTTCGTCACTCCTTGGTTTCCCGAAAAAGTACTGGCGCCATCTTCCGGATTCATGGACTACGCTATTTCCATGAGGCCGGAGTATCACAAGGCCATAATTGATACTGTCAAATATTACGGATGGAGAAGAATAATTTACTTGTACGATTCCAATGACGGTGAGTGCGATTCCAATTCTGATCAAAAATGTTATTTTTCTAAGAAACGTTATATTTTTCAAATACAATTAAGATGCAAAAAACAAAACTGATTGTAGTGGAAAAGTCGGAAACTACATTTTTTAGCGAAATTCCATTTGGGAAAATTATTTCAAATCGTCACATCTTATGAAATATTTATTTTCATCAAGTTTGGAAGTAATAATATTCTGCTTCTAACTCATATCTTCCCTAAATTTTGTTAGCTTTGATTTTATTCAGACGTAAATAGTTCCTTCTTCCGAACGTGACAATTATTTGTTTGAAGGTAGTTGACAATGTTTCTTGGTGCATTTCATTAGTTTGGACCTCCATTGTTTAATCTAGAAATCCAACCACCATCAATTGACTAAGAGAGAAATCATCAAGATTCTACTAGACCGTGCTTTCGGGTTGTGTAATACAAAAGAAGGTCTCGAAAAGGTACTGCGAGTGCGGAGAATCATACAATGTTGAAACTAAGAGGCCATTGAAGGTTCGCATTGCCGAGCATAAGAAACATACACAGCGAGGAGGAACCAGCACGAATACCAGAGCACGTTTGGACTTATCAACATAACATATAGTGGGCTCAAGCTGAAATCATCCACAAGGAAGAACACTGGTTTAGGAAAAAATTCGAAGAAGCCGCATATATGTCCTCATATATGTTCGACAATGCATCAAGCCGAGCTAGCGTAGAGATACGCAACTTATGGAAACCTCTAATAAAGCGGAACACTACCAACTTCCGCCAAACGGTCAGCTTCCGCTAAAACCTATCAAACGGAGAGAGGGAAGAGGGGATACGTGAAAGCACTCGAATGACCTATAAATAGTCAGATCTCGGAGGAATGAGTCCAGTTATTACCCGAAGACGATTGTGAATACTAACAAACGGAAAGTCGTGAAGTAACTTGGTTTGGAATCTTTAAATTTTCAATTTTGATTTCTTGTTAATAATTTCAAATTTTCATCTCGTGTTGATAGTTTGATTTTTTTCAATTTTTTCGTTGTTGCTTGTATTTTATTCAATTGTTATTTCGGTTTTTTGCTTAATATAATTGTTATTTTTCGCCTAATCTCTTTTTTAATTTTTCACAGATTCTTTCAGGTGTTTCAGATCAATTTATATCATATTAGATAATGAAAGTCCAAATTAATGAAATGTGGCAATTATTTCCATGATTCCGCTACCCTATATGTCAGATTTTTCGAATAAGGAATAAATTTGTAACATCTCCATCTCATATATTAAAAAATCATTCGAGCAACCTTTCAACCTTTCTTTTTGGACCTCCTGCCAATTATCGAACTATTTTCTAACATTTTGAAATGTTTCTGAGTTCCTGTATTATTACAGGACGCGTTATACATACAACCTTTCGATTTAATATAGATCCAAAGCGAAAAATCAAGTGAACGAGCAGAATATTTCAACGGACAGCGCCTACTGATTCACATGCCATTAATTATCAATAGTGACTGCTATCAAGCTTAGACAATTACTGTTACTAAGGTAACACGACATGAATTCTCTACTGTTCATTCATTATAAATTTATTTCCAAAAAACCTCAAAGGTTTATACAGCAAATTATTTTTACAAGGAATATTCATGCGTGAATAAACAAGGTGTAACATAAGTACGTTGAAATATACTTTGTGACGCATTCCTGACACAATTGTAAGAAAATAAGTTAATATGAAGTTGTGTTCTGAAATGTTTCCTTTCGGAGATATAGGGTGAAATTGATTCTTTTTGTTCGTATTTTAAGGGTCTTCATCCCTGAAAAAAAAGGAGTCAGAAACGATTTTTCTTATTCTGATTGAGGAAAGATTGTATGAGTGTATGAAGGAAAAATGATAAAAAAAATATTTTTTGAATATTAGATGAATAGAAAGTATTCTCTCTCTCATTTTTGGGCATTTTTCTTCAATTCCATCATCAAAACTAACGAATATTTTGGTGTTATTCCATTTCGGTATTGAAGCCTATCATTTTCTCAGTTAAACGACTTTCTCATTTTTCTTTTTAATGTTTCCTTTATTTTGTTATTAATTTAATAAGAATGTGTTATTTATACGAATTTGATTTCCTTGCATTATGCCTTTCGAAATGGGAAATATCAAATTTTATCAAAGTCAACTAATAAAGTTTTGCTTCAGCCGTCGACTAGTGAAAACTAATTATTACTTTTGAATCTGGAGTCTGAATAGAAGATGAATTTCTTTTAAATGACACGCCCGTCAGGTAGCTCCTCCCACACGTCTGGTGAGGAAGAGAGAGAGTATCATAGAGCCATTGTAAAATATAGCACAGGGTCGGATCGGGAATAGGAAAAGATAAAAGTTATTCTGACCGAACGAAAGATTGAAATATTAAAATTTCTACAATAACCAGATAGTTTTCAACTTACCTATCTGTATGTTTGCGTGTGTACACGTTTGTATCAAATCTTGCAAGTCTAATATCTTCCGATTGGCTTGAAATTTTACAGGTATTCATTACTAGGGACAAAACTTCATGATATTTTCATATTAAGAAATACTAAGATGGAGGCTCTAGAATGTTGGACGAATTTCGTTATTTTTTATTTGATTACAATCAAAATTGGTAGCAAAAACATTGTTGGATTTAATTTATTTTCAACAGTTGCATACACATTAGCGGAATTGAATTATTCACGATTGGTATTGACTTATATTGTCTAACCCTTTATATGGAATCAGACATATTATTTAAAATGTGGACCTTTCCTGCAAAATATTATATTAAAATCATTCAATTTTAAAAATATATCTGCCAGTATGAATTAATTTTGAGGAAAACTATGAGTAATTTACCCCGGAGAGCCCTAGATGAATTATTTTTGAGGATCCGACTATGAATCATAAAATTTTTTCTGATACTTGATTTCTCAATTTTTTATTCATAAGTATCATCTGATTTTCTGAACACCCTGCTCATGTTTTCGAAAAAATAAATTTTGAACAGAATACGACTATAAATCACAAAATAACCCATAGCCATCTTCATGCTGCTATTTTGAATTCTTGAAATTTGATGAAAAACTCATTATCTTCAACCTCAAAATACCAGTGTTATATATAATTTGACAATTAATAACAAAACTCGTTTGCCATCTCGAATTTCTGAATTCCAACAGAAAAATAACTATCTTCGAACCTTAAAGCCCGACCAGATATCACAAAACTAGTCCGCCCTCTTGAATTTCCAAAATTCAATAGAAAAAAATCACGCCTAGAGACTACAAAATACCAATTTTAAATCGAATCGGTCCATAATCACAATACTCGTCAGACATCTTGAAGCCGCCATCTTGAATTCATTAATTTTAACTAAAGATTCATAATGTGCGACCCCAAAAACCCCATTGTACCAAATATGAATCGGATAACACAACTTGTCCGTCACCTTGAATTCATTAATTTTGACAATACATTTATACTCTACGAGCCCAAAAAAATCTACATGCTAATTTCAAATCGATTCGTACCATAATCACATATCTCGTTCGATATCTTGGAACCGTCATCTTCGTTAAGTTTGACAAAAGATTCATAATATCTGACCCCGAAAACTTCCTTATAGCAAGTCAAATCGGGCCCTAATCACAAATCTCGTCCGCATCTTGGATTTCTCAATTTTGATAAAAGATTCATAATTTTCAAATAATCTGCAATTTTCGTGCAAACTTTGAGATCAACACGAAAACGAACATGTTTTAATCTAAAATGTAATTTGGAAAAACGAACACGTCGGCGAATAAAGTTCGGCCCTGGAATGCCCCGGCTTGGTCAAGTTAGAATTAGGGAGGAGTTTGTATTTATTTCATCGGGCGAAATCGCACTGCCATCTGGCGGTATACGTTTTCGTAACTAAAGGCTAAAGACACTTAAAAATAACTCCAGAAAGAAATGAGTTATATGCACAATATTTGATACCCGGGGTTTTTATGACGTGGGAAATCATAATTGTTATTTATTTTGACAAAAATCACCATATACTCAGTTTTTGTGGTGTTCTCAGCAACTTCATTTAGCGCCCCAAGAGCTGTGTAATATAAATCGGTATAGAAAATTGTGAATATCTCGAAAACGATCACTTCCAGATTTATTGGGGAAATGTAACTTTCTTGTTTAAAAACGGTGTGGAAATCAGGTTTTCTCATGAAAAGTACAAAAAGTACACTGCCAGAAAGTTAGGACAATTTGAAAGAAATAATGATGTTACATGAAAATTAATACAAAATTACAATTTCCCACGTCAACAAATTTTTTTATCGATGAACATAAATGAGGATTTTTCAAAATTTAAAGTTGATTTGTGTATATTAGGTTGAATATTTATTTGTTTGGAATGGACTTCTATTTGTTGGTATGTTATTTGTGAATCTTCATTGCAATGGATCAAAGTTGTATCATCAGCAAATAGTACTGATTTTCCAGAAAGCTGGAATTCCGAAATGGAATGTATATGAAAGAGAAAGAAGACTAACAACTCAATTTTGCAAGATCATATCACATCATAATCTGAAAATATGCTAATCGTGATTTTTATTGAGATGTATATGTAACACTTCACCTATAAGTTTTTTTATGAAACTTTGAAATATGTTCTAAATAACATTATAAGTTGAAATAAATTATAAGTTCTGGCCTTATTGGTCCTCTTCACATAACAGTAAAATGGAGGTAGTACACTATCTAGCTGGATCCACCGAGGATGTTTCCCTCACAATTGAAGAAAAGGGAAAGATCAGAAATATCTGTACTTCTAGCCTCTAGCCGAGTTGGACGTAATAGCATATGCAACAGCAAAGTGAATAAATTCACAATTTTCAACCTACCTATTCGCCTGATGTCATTCTACAACCCGAAAATTGAAGTTTAGTGAAAGCAAACCTAACAAGATATCCTAAAAAGGTATCCAGAGTATTATACAATTTGGGGCTTCTCAAAGACTTACCTCTAAAGAGGGTAGGCAACAGTTTATCTATCAAAAACCGGAAGCCTCGTGGTTTGAATAAACAAAAAACTGGGGTTTCCAGGGCTAGTTTACGAAATAGCTAGAATATTATTCTACTCAATTCAAAAAGGGTAATTATCGACTTCAATAGGAAGAAGAATTCAAATCCAAAAACTGTGTCCCTTCACAACCACCTTGGCACATCTGCCATCGTAGAAAAAAATATCGAACTGAAGCCTCATCCTTGAAAAGAATCGTGCTTGGTTTGATCAATCGAATTGAATACACGTCAGTTATTGGACAAATGGAGCTGGCAACCAACCACAGACAGATATGTTCGAATGGTGTCCTGTATGAGCTGACTTTTCTAGGATCTATTTAAAAAATTATAGAAAATGATAGTAAGGCAAACTAAACGCTACAGCTGGAAGCAATGCTTTGCTCGGGGTACACTATAGTTTGTAAATAGCTAAAATTGCTTGATTCAATTTTTTACACACACACAGACCAAGTGAATTTTCCATTAACCATCGAGCCAAGAGATTCATATTTCAGGCTTACTGGTAGTTTTAAATCTTCTATTTCGACAGCAATTTCTTCACTGGCCAACCATTTTCATGAAAGTTGCGTCAATTAATTGATTAATATTACACCAAAGTACAAAATCTTCGAAAGAATTGTCAGTTTTCATGGAAATTTTAGGGAAGTGAAGTTAGGCAAGTCATTTATGTTCGAAAAAAAAGTATACTTGTGGAGTCCCTAAAACAATTTTTTCTTCCTTGTAGAGTTCTGTCATAATTTCAATATAGCTGTTTCGATTTTCTATGAACGAAATAATCCACCCCATACAAATAAACACAAGAAATAAGCAAACCTTGACTCCATATTAGCGATGACTTTTATCATTTACTTGAAGGACTCCTCAGACTCCAGCAAATATACCAAGGACTGACACCAGGAAGTGAAAGTTTTCAAGTCTCCACTGTCAGGCGAATAAACAATGTCAGCGAAGCTTTGACTTTCCTAAGAGGTATCGAAGAGCAATCCCGTTGGTCCAACAAGTATGTAGTACTGGATTGCACGGCTGATGTAGCCAAAGAAATAGTAGTCAACCATGTGAGAGATATTTCACTAGGAAGAAGGAATTACCACTATCTTCTCTCGGGACTGGTGAGTTCAGTAGTGGTAGTACATTTTTATATATTGTTTTGAATTAGAAATCGTAGTTTACAACCAGAATTTTGTTTCGAAACATCGAAATGTTTGAATATGTTCTCTCACTTCAGTTAACACAATTACTTTTTCAAGAAATGGTATGAAGAACTTCAACTCGCACTTCAACTTGCACCAGTCATGTTAAAATTTTTATAGCAAATTTTTAATTTCTCTCTAAAAATGTCCGTATGAGTGAAAATGTATCAGAAAAGTTAAAGTCCATGATGAGTTTGTTATGTATACATGGATTGATGACAATTAACCGAACTTGTTTTTTAAAATAAAGGGGATATCTGTCAAAAATAAGCAAAACGTTAATTTCATCCTAGTTGCATAAAATTTGGCATATGGATATAAAATTACCGTAGACTCAACTATTTCAAGTAACTTTTTGTTAAAATCGATATAGAAATTCCTTTTTTTTAATTTTTTTTCAAAAAAAAAAGTTGAATTTGACAAACACTGAACGTCAGTGGGTCGCAGTTGGCCGCATCATTTTGAGTTAGATTTAAAGCACAATCTAGTGCACAAGTTAAACTTCATTGAAACTTTTCGAAAAAAAAGTTTCCCACATGGTGCGCACTTTAATGGTGACACTGTATGTTCCTTGGGCGATCATTTCACATGAAATATGTGATTTCCCTATTATTGCAATCATTAGTTTCATGACTTCAAACAAGACTCTTTATATATATTCTTATTTTTTTTCTGTAGTCACGGATAGTTTGAAGAAAACTACTCGTCATATAATTTTCATACACATTCGAACAACTTTGGGCTACCTTAGTTTTTAATGGCTCTAACAATGGATATAATGGGTTTGGTTGGGTTAGGTCCTAAGTGAGTGGGTCTATTCGACCCTCTACCGCAACCCGCAAGGGTTTATTGAGGCTCACACCTATTCACACTCGACCAAATAAACCCAGCTTCTTAACGAAGCCAATCAGTTTGTATGGTGAGTGGTATTTCAAGTCAGATGGTACTGCCAAACTCTGCCAAACTCCAAAATTCTCATTCGGTTCCCAGCAGGGCAGGCACGAAGTATGTGCTCTGCTGTTTCATTATTTTCCAAACAGAGGCGACACCCACTATCTCTCGACAGTCCGAGTCTCTGCATATGATGATTCAAATGACAGTGACCTGTAAGAAGACCTGTTATACATCCTAGTTCATCCCTACTGCACTCCAACAACTGCTTGGTATCAAGCTTCGAAGGGTGGATAAACGCCTTGAAGTGAGCAAATCCTGTGAGATTCTGCCAGAAATCCATAAATCTTATTGCCATTCAGGTATTCAATCTTAGTTTGGCAGAGCCTAAAGCGCTGCCAATGCAGATTCTGGTCCGATGAAGCTGATTACAGCACCCTCTTTTGCAATGGCGTCAGCAGCCTCATTGCCTTCAAGGCTAGTATGGGAAGGAATCCAGACCGGAGACAATCTGTTGAGTCTTCCTATCAAGGAGAATCGTTCTTGGCAATTTGCTACCAGTTTAGACGTTGCTCGGTAGGAGCTGAGAGTTTTCAATGCCGCTTACCTGTCCGAGGATATTTTTATTGACTTGTGTATGAGGTTGGATTCTTCCAATATCTCCGCACACAATTCAATAGCGTAAATTTCCGCTTGAAATACAGTCGCATAGGTTCTCACGCAGGTTGATATCTCTGTCCTGGGTCTGCGACTGAAAACACCTGCACCAGAACCGGAAGGTTTTTTTGATACATCTGTGAACCAACAACTATCTAGTCTTGATATTTCCTTCTCATGGAAGGATATAATGGGTACCTATGATTTACTTTGAGATACCTAAGATCAATCTTCCTACTTGACTCTCTGTTTCGACTTTGTAAATTTGATTATGAGCTACTATAGTATGAGTAAACTATATCGACAAATTTCACTAAATTTTGTGAAAATAATATGAAATTCATATTAACACATATATTAACAAATAAAATTCATGTAGCCCGTCGGAAATGAAAGGCCTTGTTTATATGTCTTTTTCAGTCTGAGCAAGGTCTTCCATACTGTTAATAATGTAGTGTTTGAGCTGAAAACAATTTGGAAAAGTTCTAGCGATTTTAGAAATGTTGAAGTATAAATATTACATGTGCAAACATTGAGTTATCCATTCTTGACCAAGAGACTGTCTCTCATTTTGTTTCGAAATGAATATAGTTTCATATTACGAAGTGATGGGTCGATCTCGTTATAACTGTAGTGATTGGTATATGTTTTTCGTGGATGTTCTGAATTTGTCGTATTATTTTTTATTTTTTATAAGATGAGTGGCAATAAAATGTGGCTGGTCGTGGATGGTGGTTGATATTCTATAGCTAAAGTATATTTCTTCTCTTTTCTCTTCTGAGATTGAGTAGTTGTGTTAGTGCTCGAGCACATTCGTGATTCGGTATTGCAACATTCGAAATTGAAGCACATTAGCAATTCGTGGTTTTTTCATAGGAAACTTAACACAAAACTGAATTCAACCATGCACATAGTTGAAATTAGCTTTCACATTCGTGGTTTTCATTTAGCACCGAATGCAGTGTACCGCAAGGTACTGTTCTCGGCCCTGTTTTGTGCAACCTTCATAGAACCCTTGATGTCTCATCTTCAATATCCAAATTTTTCAAATGTCCCATAACAACCGGAATTTTAAAGACACATTTATTGATGTCGGTACATTTTAAGTGTTGCAAATGATTTTTACTTCTGTATGAGCAAACTATACACATTTTTATCGTTCACCTAAAGGAAATGATTGATTTGATGGAACAAAAATATCTATTCATAGTGTAAAGAGCATTGCTTTCAGTTTTTAGAAAGTTCTTATCAAATTTATACCTTTATTTTAATGATTATTCAACATCAACTTCATGAACTGACTTTTTTCGAATTTCTGAAATTTTCCACCACATTATAATAATATTTCCGGAAGATTTTCTATTTCTAAATTCTGTTTTTCAATGTCACCCAATGTATATACTTATTCAAACACAACATGGAAGTCAATAAATCGAATTCATTATATTTTCGAAAGCCATAAAGCTCCCAATTGATCTAACATGAATATCAAATTCGCATTAAATAACATCGGATCAAACTATTCGTACTTGAAACTTTCATTCCATAAATGTATTTATGGCTCTTTCATATGAAAGTCATGATACTTAAACGTGAATAATCACCCAACTGCATGATACAGTGAAATTGGGTCATTCGATCGAAGAGACTTGAACTTGGAGTATCGAATTTAGGTCAAACATTCGGCTTTATGCTGCGGAATTCTCCAAGTCGTATTCATTTATAGAAGTTGTCAAGGTGAAAGCTGCTTAAGAGATGAAACATAAAAATATTATTTACGAAACATCGCAGAGGAATTGTAAAACTACGGGTTCTCATATAGTTGGGTAACCAGTGAAATAAGTGTCTATCAATCCTTAGTAACCCTCTCGCTATTGCCGTGTTTGTTTTATCAGAATCAAATTTGGCAGCTGCTGTCACCAGATGCATATTTCTCCACGTCAAAATTTGGATGTCAGGCAATTCCGAAGGCCGGTTAGGCCAAATGATTAGATTTTCGAAATCTAATCATTTGGTATACCTACTTATATTATCTCTCATTATATTGTTTCAGAATGATGCTGAATATGCTCTAACTGAATTTCATTCTTTGATAAAATGCCTTTCCCTCTTCTCGATAGATTGACTAAGAAGTCTATGATATGTTTTTGTTCTCTCAATTTCATCTTACTCTACTCGGATGGTGTTTTATTCAGTCCAAGAGAAAATGAAAGTCCAAAGTTTTAAAAATGAAGTATAATGAGTAAAACAACGACTCCATGAACAAATTGAATAAAAAACCTATAAAAGCTTATACATAAAATTAAATTCTATGAAATTATAGAAAATAGAACAAAGGAAGTGCCGCCAATTTGACTATGCTATTTACTATCAATTCGAGCTGTTAAACAACTACAAATGCACCAACTCAGTACAAAATACTTTCAGTTTCACTTTTACTTTAGGGATAGTGGTGTATAACTTTGAATTTGCGCCATTTTTTGTAATTGTGATATGAATTCTAGCTGAAAAACCCGCACTAGGAACCCAACAATATATAACCTCTTTGCAAAAAGAAAGTGAACTCAGACAAAATAATATGTGAACTCTCTTAATATCAACTGATTGGAGTAAAACAAACAAGCACTCTTCGATGGTTCATGGTCAACCATAGGTTCCTTTGACCTATTGTGTCTTCAACGCCAACACTTTTATTTTCAACTCCCTTGTACCCAATACCTGCCTACGATTTCAGTATCGATTTTCCTTAAATTTCGCATCACGCGCTTAGAAGCAAAGTAACTTACCTATTCAGGCCACCTTCCTTAGCATCGAAGGTTGAGGGATGAGACCCCCGATATCGTTTCGACGGGCTCTGGTGAACAACTTTTTTGTGCCTGTCGCAAAAACTCCCAAACCCTCGTGTCAGCAACGCTAGCCACAAATACCTCATCTCAGCGTTTTTAACTTTCCCACGTGTATGATCATTGGCAGGATGTAATATATACATTTGTTTAGTCTAGCCCAACTTGTACATGACCGCAACGACGCTCAAAGGTCCGACAGTCATAAATTAGTTCAAACGCTTTTTCATCTGGAAAAATATCGACACCGAAGAACTTCGATCTCTATGAATAAACTAATATTTTACGTTACTATCGCAATGACAGTTATTACAGTATTTTTAGCTGCCTTTCTAGATTGTTGATCTTCTAGAACCTGAAGAACAAACGAAGCTGAACCAACAGAGAATCTGCTGAGATGTAATAGAGAGCAAACCGAAAAGTTCACTACAAGTAGATGATGTGTCCATTTGAGCACTGAATAGTCGAATCGGTCGATAACTTGTCGTATTCATAAATTTGACTAACGACTTGAATGATCAATGGTGA